CGAATGGATTAAGGCTGTGAGGTCGTTGATACAAATCCGAATTAAGAAACTACATGGGTCTATCAATAACCACGCTACGTCAATTTTTAAAGGCCTAAATGTTGCTAAACACTTGTCCTACCTTCATGACAAATATGTTGTTGTCCCCGCAGATAAAGCCCCAAACAACATCGTGTTTATGTGTAATATTATTACATAAACTGCTTGATAAATGAATTAGGTATTGACAATTCACTTGGAAACTCAACATATACCCTCACGACACTAACCAAAGAGGAAATCCTGGATAATCATAGGTCTGTTCTATGTTCCTTTGGAATTTCAACCAAAGATGAAGAACTGGATCTTCCATCACTGTATTGAATACCTAAACTACATAAGTGTCCTTACAAAACAACGGTATATTGCTGGGTCTTCCAAGTGCTCCACGAAACCTCTTTCTAAATTATTAACATCTATTTTATCAGCAATCAAAGCCGGGCTCCAAAGTTATTGTGAAACTGCCTATTCTAGAGGTGGCATGAATCAGATGTGGATACTAAAAAATTCCAAAGATCTTTTAGAGTACATACAATCAAAGACTCTCTCATCTTGCAATAGTATTAAAACATTTGACTTTTCTACACTTTACACAAGTATTCCCCATTCCAAACTGAAAGACATATTGAAAGAGTTGGTATCATTTTGTTTCGTTAAAAAGAATGGCGAACGTAGATACAAGTATCTTGTCCTGGGGAGGGATAAATCCTACTTTGTAAAGAATCACTCTGATTCAAACAAAAAATTCTCTGAAACTGAAATTATCAAGATGCTTGAGTTCTTGATTGACAACATATTTGTTACGTTTGGAGGACGCGTTTTTCAACAGACTGTCGGAATTTCAATGGCAATCAATTGTGCCCCTCTTCTTGCCGACTTGTTTCTTTATTATTATGCGGCTGACTTCATACAGGAACTTCTTAGAAAGAAAGATAAGAAGTTAGCAATATCCTTTAACTTTACGTTCTGCTATAAAGATGATGTTCTCTCACTAAATAATACAAAATTTGGTGACTATGTTGAACGAATCTATCCCATCGAACTAGAGATAAAGGATACTACAGATACAGTTAAGTCTGCCTCATATCTTGACTTACATCTAGAAATTGACGATTAAGTTCGGTTGAAAACAAAACTTTACGACAAAAGAGATGATTTCAGCTTCCCAATTGTGAACTTTCCATTTCTATGTATCACATTCCAGCAGCGCCTGCATACGGAGTATATATCTCCCAATTGATACGATATTCCCGGGCTTGTATTTCCTATCATGATTTCCTTGATAGAGGAATGCTGCTCACAAGGAAGCTATTAAGCCAAGAGTTCAAAATGGTGAAGTTGAAATCATCCCTTCGTAAATTTTACGGACGCCATCACGAGTTGGTTGACCGTTATGGAATAACCGTTTCACAGATAATATCGGATATGTTCCTTATGTCGTAACTACAATACCCTTCCCTTTTCACGAATGTGACTTACCGAATTAGACTATTTACCGGATTTGTAATAACATAAGCAACACGACGGGTGCTACATGTGGAGCAGGATCTGCTTACCCTTCCGGAGCACCTGAGATCACCCCCAGTTTTTGGTGGGGTTCGTGTTGCTAAGTCTTTAGTTTTCTATGTTGTGTCATCTGTACTATTATTTGTCTGTTTGTCTTTTTATTTTTGGCCATGGCGTTGTTAGTTTATTTTCGATCTATGATTTTGACTGTCCCTCTGGTATCTTTCGTCCCTCTTTTAAGCACCGCTTTTGGGCTATTCCGTGGCGGCCAGTTTTTATTGGTGGAGGAAGCCGGGATGCCCGGAGAAAACCACCGACCTTCGGTAGGAAAACTGACAATCCTAGTCAATTAAGATTGGAGTCGCGTGCACCTGCACGAGCAGGGTTCGAACTCACAACCTCAGTGTTGACTGGCTAGTGATTACAGTAGTAACTACTTAGACCACACGCCCACCGGGGCCCCTTTTTCATATATCGGTGAGCCTCATGAACAAATTCATTATGAAAACATTAAAGAAAATCGTTAGGACCGACTTGTCCTTTCTTTCAATTAAACTGGATATTATCCTGTTCATCCCTAGACAAACTACAGTTTACATTTTGCAAGAAGCAATAAATCAGTTTGGTTTCATCTCAGCCTCAAGGTATCCTTTATATGCGAACAAATATTTTATTTCACACGAAACACAAAAGTATGCAACAAAAGAAAAACATAGTTCATTAGGGATGATATAATTCATGTTCAAAAAGAACTTTGGTTGCCCTGAAGAATGATAAACATTTGTTTTGAGTACATGGATGTTTAGAAGGAGTTCAAAAAGTGCAACATTGAGAGAGCAACGACACAAATAAAACATATCGGATATTTAAAGTTCATACGTTACAGTAGCTATTTTAAATAACACTTCATACATTTGGTTCGTCCCAACTGCTTTTTTGAATTAACTGGCAATCGGAACGCTCTAACAAACAAAATATTGAAGTGTTTTCTAAGAAAAAAAGCAGTAAAATGTTTATGGGTAAGCACGATAGAATATCTCGACTATCTTACTCTGTTTAATTCAAACTCTCTAATAACTCACTAATTTCATTTTTTTTCTAAGTTACCTATAAATTAAAATTTCATTTCTTCTTTTATCTTGAGATAGCAACTTCTAAAAAAACATTGTTTTCTGCCTTGTCTTTGAATTTTTCATTTTAAACTTTTGATTATTTTCATTGATCCCGTTACACTGTAAATCAACTAATTTTCGCAAGCAATTCATTTGCCAAATCTTTTCGAGATGAGACAAATGCCAGTAGAAATCGTCAGAAATATGTCAAACTTTGATCTTTCCTTACATTTATACATAAAATATGTTAGAAAAACGCCCGCTCTAACGGTTGGAAAAGCATCCGCAAAAATTTTTATATATAGTATATGTAGATTTATATAGAATTAAATTCATAACAGTGTAGACGAAACCCTTCGTTGGCGCGCTCATTTTTTCAATTAACTGGATCAGATCAGGTAACCGTTTGTCTGTTACGCCTACTTAATACGTTGTTTTACAAGGGACATTTAAACGTACGGGGTCACAAAAGGTTTCTTAACGCCTGAAAACAAATGACTCGAAAAAAATACTACAGGCGTATTGATAAACATTGAATATTTTGAAATTCTTTAAGACAATCGATAATCAAATTATTTATCATACCGCACGTTCTTTGAACATTAAAATAAAATTTTTCTAGCTTCAAAAGTAGTAATGAATGTGTAAGCAATAACCTTTTTTGGACTTAATAGCGATTTTATAATTGTCGCTTTCTAAAATGTGTACTAGCTCTTCGTATCTTGTAACCTTTATCTTGTCAAAAGTATTCATTTTTAGAACGAATGCATGATAACTTTAAATCGTGGTGCAATGAAAAACAAATAAATAATATATTTTCGAACGGTCTTTTTCGTACTTGCAAAATATAGGAGAGTAAAAAGCTACATGTATTTGGGCCTAGCTTTATACAATTTGCATTTACTATATATAAAATAGTAATCTTTTGATTAAGTTTCTAAATATAATCAATTGTTGAATAAATTTATTTACTGGAAAGCTAGAATATTCAAATTAGTTGGTCCAACGTTCTACTGACTGACTCAGCATTCGGACTAGATTATTCAGAACAATACATAGTTTGATAAATGGGAAACTGGAATCGTTCTGCTAACCACTTTACTTGATGAAAACCCATGCTTGGTTGCAGAACCGTATTCCTGAATTCATGATTATGCACATATCACTCATTTGTTCTGAAAGTGTGTTTTATTTTGATTTGATTTAATTCATTTGTGTGTGGGGGATTAGTTCGTTTCTTATGAACATACAGGAACAATATTTTTTAATCTCAGTGTCGTATTTCTTTTTATCCCTAATTCTAAGTTGATATGAATTAGTTGTTTCACCTTTTTCTTCTTGAATGATTGAGGACCGCTTAAAAATGTATGTATCCCTCCGAAACATAAATACATCTAATCAGGACGGGTACACTATCATTCATTGGCACACTAACGTTCCCGGTAATATAATTGTTTTATTTCATAATAAGCAATATTGACTTAGAGAATTGACCAATCCATTGAATGGGTTGCAATGCATGATGGACTATATGTACTTTATCGAGAACACGCGTGTTTTTCAGTGGCCTACAACTCACTTTTTCTCCTTTGTGTCTACGTTTAATAAAGCATAATTTGTATGCTCAGATTAAAATAACAAACGGAGATCTGATAAACTGTAACACCTGATAATTTGTTGTTTATTGGACAAACAAAGCCATGTAACAGTGTTACAACCTATGTGCTACAATTAATCTGTTTAGTATGAAGCTTTTGGTTAATTATTCTAATGTTTAAGATATTATGAACACATTATTTAATGCATGGATAGATTAAAAAAATGTAAATACAATTCTTATTTAGATTGTTGTAATTCAATTGCTGCAGTTATAAACAGGGCGGGATATTTCCAGAGGCGGATTTAATTGCTGGAGGGGGTATGGAGCTTAATACATGGTTAATGCATATATTTTTACATGTCCTACTCCAAACGTTGAACGCCTCCCTCCCCCCCCCCCCCCCCTTTTCCTTTTCGAAATACAAATGTTTACTATTCAAGACAAACAACACAATTTTTAAATTCCTTTTAAATTTTGTTGAAGGAGTTTATTTTATGTATCGAAATGTGAAACAAGTAATTATTCAAATCCCCACTGGAAGGACTCTGACAGACTGAGTGAGCGTAAAATCATTGTTATCGATAGCCGATGACAAACAAGTTAAAGGTAAATGATTCTGTATTTTTAAAAACATAATCATTACGGTTGTTCACACTGTTATGGGACTACTTCTAAGTGATGCTGCTATAACAAAGACAATTAATACAGTTAACCATTCATTAAAATAAGATACTGGAACATACCTTTTTACATTCAAAACTGTTACAATCATTAGCTTGGTAAACATGGTACAGCTCGTCTTGCAGACTGTCTGTCGGTTTTTGTCCGAACTGAAACAGTTATTGAGAATATTGTCATTATTGCACGAAATGTATGTGCAAAACGAAATGTAAATAAAATAATCGCCAAATCACATGAATTGGTAGCAATTTAACCAAAAGATAAAAAATTAATTATTACACTACCAATCTTACTGTACCTGATTCGCATTTTGCAAATTTATTTTGGTTCGTTGATGCTCTAGGCCATCATATTTCAAAATCCGAAACCAATATAACTAACTTCGAAGAGAGCTGATATAACCGAAAAGATCGAAAAAGTATAGTCAAACTCAGACAAGGAATCAGGGCTATACATTTCTAAATTTAAAATAATTTTCTCAGATTTAAAACAGCAAATTTCAATAAAATACTACCCCTTTTTTTAGGAAGTACATAATTACTGAGCACCAGGGCTGGTGATACCCTCGGAGACTAACAGTCTACCAGCAGATGTATCGACGCAGTGGTATTAAGGATGTACTCTTTTGACGTTTCAGTCTCGTTGAAATCTCGTTTTGGAATTATTTGCAAAACATGTGATACAAGTGGAAAATATCAATGAATTTGAAAAATATTATAATCAAACTTAACTCTGTGAAAAAAGTGTGTATTTACAATAAGTTGTTTTTGAGTAATACAATTTTTCAAAGTTTATAACCAATCAAGTCAGTCTCATAAGCCAAAATGTTGAGAAAATGGGTGAGGGGTACAAAAAATGATTTTACCAGATACATGTACATCCAATATCAATGTTTTCCTTTCAAATTTCATAGATATTTTTTTTTTCAATATTTTTTTTATTTATAACAAAGAAGTTAAAATAATATGCTTTTTGTGATAATAGCCCAAAAATTGGTAAAAATTGATGAAAAATGGGAAAATCATCAAATTTGGTACTTTCAAATGGCCGTAGCAAAAAAAGAAGTGCACCACTATATGATTTTTTCTTCACCAGTTATTTTTTTTACAGTCATATAAACCCAAAAATCAGGTTAAGAAAAAAGGTTTAGTTCTAGAATTTTTTGGCTCCTCAGAGGTGAACATCCTTAATAACATAAACGATATAAATTTTACTGCACCAGGTGTGCATTTAAACACATATTTTCCTTCCGTGTACCAACGTATAAATGGGTCAATTAAACAAACAAAGCAAAACAAGAAAATAAAAAAATGTCCTGATAATAATTACCTACATGTTACCAACATAACTAATGTATTATATAGTTAATGTTTCGAGAGGGTAAAACAATCCTGAATCCGTTGACTGATATCACCCCCCGTTTTGGTGGGGTTTGTGTTGCTCATTTTTTATTTTTTTATGTTGTGTTTTGTATATTATTGTTTGTCATTTTGTCTTTTTCTTTTTTTGCTATGGAGTTGTCAGTTTATTTTCGACTTATGAGTTTGAATGTCCTTTTGGTATCTTTATCGTCTCTTCCGCTACTGACATCTTTCATAAATCACCTTACATTTTAGTGGGTTTTTTTTTTTTCAATACAGGTGGTATCTATTGATGATATGCGTTGATTTTCAGTAAATTTTAAATTCAATAGAATTTTTTAAATCATTCAAAACGATAAGTAAAGGCAACAGTAGTATACCGCTGTTAATTAATAAGAATTAATTCCCATAGGCTCAATTGGCCTAAGCCAGATTGGCACACATTATTGAAACATTTGGTTTTTGATTTTCGTCAGTTTCGAAATTGATCTGGCTTTCCAACTGTTTTGCTTTTGGTGTGCTACTGATGAGTCATATATCGACGGAATACGTGTCTACCATACAACATTGTAAGATTGTTTTAACGCAAATGAAATTATATAACTGCCTATTGACGTATTGTCCCTGAGGGTAACACTAAGTTGCTGACAAAAAACATCTTTGATTTCGCACACATTTTAAAATATTTGATTTCGAGTGGTTTTGATTCAAGGGACTCTGCTGAGACTTATATTGACAAAACGTGATTCAATCATACATAATTATAATCCTGATATCCTTCAATTATCGTGCATTCATTAATTCTTAGTTTAAAAGAAACAAAAATATCATTGATGCAGTCATTTTCTGTTCATAAAATCTTAAAATCATTCAAAACCCTTATGTTTTTCTACCCCTAACCATACACAACCTTAACCAGATTTGGCTCAACGTTTTAAACAAAATCTTTAGCATAAACTTTGAAATATTTAATTTCGATTTGTTTTGATTCAAGAGTCTCTGCTGAGTCTTATATTGACAAAACGCGATTCAAGCATACTTAATTATAATCCTAATATCCTTCAATTATTCGTGAACTCATTAAATGTCAAAGAAAAAGATTTACGTCCATGTAAAAAGACATTTGATCACAGTTATAATAAACAACTGATTAGGTAGGGTCAAATTTATTCTTGCAATGGCAAACAACTGAAAAAAGTAAAATAACAAAAATACCGAACTCCAAGGAAAATTCAAATAAATCGGAAAATCCCTTATCAAATGGCAAAATTAAAAGCTCCAACACATCAAACGAATGGAAAACAACTGTCGTACAGGCATTTCCTTTTGTAGAAAATGGTGGAATAAACCTGGTTTTATAGCTAGCTAAACCTCACACTTGTATGACAGTCGCATAAAATCCATTTCTTTGACAACAATGTGTGAACAAAACAAACAGACATGATAGGTAAAAATATCAACAACAAACCCTCAGCTAAAATGTAAAATCACAAAAATACTGAACTCCGAGTGTGAAAATGTGAAAATAGGAATAGCATCCCTAAAAAGCCGGTCAAAGTCACAATATTACTTGTCTTTAAAGAGCTACATATATTAGCTCTGATCGTTATTAGATAGCGGTAGACAGAACAAAATGCTTTGTAAAGTTACCTGGGAAATAATATAAAACAATATACTTATCAGGATTAAAATTTTGTACGCCAGACGAGCGTTTTTGTCTACTAAAAACTCATCAGTAATGCTCGAATCAAAAAAGTTTAAAAGGCCAAAAACAATACGAAGTTCAAGAGCGTTGATGAACCTTAATTCAAAAAGGTTTTGTCAAATACAGCTAATGTAGTCTATTCCTGGGGTAGAAAATCCTTAGAAGTCTTAGCTAGTTGTCAATCATTTTGCAATCGTTTGTGGATCTGCAACACGCATCAAAGTTCGGTGCAAGACATATTTTATTCAAAGGAAACACGACATTTTCAGCACAAAGATTTACCTTTGCAGGTACAAAGTAAATCTTACAACTATTCTGAAGACATTTGCCCTTGAAAATGATGGGCTTTTTTATAGTCTAAAGGAGACTGTTGTGGCAATTGTGCTTTGTAAAAAGGTCCAAATACTGTTCTGCAGCAAATCTCTCAGAACATGTTGCAGGAAAGTTGATTTGCATGGGGGCTGTTTGAACAAGCTAGTATCTTTCTATGTATTAGGTTTTTTTACCACCGTGATAAAATTTGGCCTTCATTTCTAGTCATAGAGCCTTGCAATAATTGTTTTGCTGACAGCGGCATATTCTTCAATGTTATCATTCGAAAGATGGTCTAAATCACTAAAGCGATCACTATTGTCATTTAAACTTTGTCTATTGTCATTTAAACTTTGTCAAGAGCTTTCATTCCTATTCCAAACATCAACGATGTGGTTACACAACCTGTTAAAGCATGAACTGCATGTACAACTTTGCACATGAAGGGCTTAACACACTCACTGCATGTTTAATGTACAGGGGAGAATCTATAGCCATCTACATTGCTGGTTATTGTCCCTGTTTGGAACCACATATGTTGTGTGTGGTTTTTTTTAGGGGGAAAGTGCACACATATAATTTGTATCTGGAGACTATAACAATATGGACCTTTTGGTTTTGCCTTTAAACTCGTTTCCAGCAAACATTGCATTGCTTCTTCGTCTGTGCTGAATAAATCTTGATAGTGCGCAACCACTGTAGAGAAGAACTTCTTTATAACAATGGGGTCAACAAAAAAGTCTGTTAGAAAGTTTATACTCAGTCGAAGTTAGCAAAGGAGCTGTGCATGATGAAAACGGGTAAAGTCAAGGGACTTCAGAATATCTTTTTTCGTGTTGACGCTCAAAACTTTTGTCCAGTTTGGTATATGGATAGACTTTCTGATACCCAAAGTACATTTTCGCTAGAATTTACACCAGTTCATCGGTCTCTCAGTAGATTATATAGACAGTTTGGTGTCGTATCTATCAAATACATCAACAGTTATACAAGCATTGGCAATGTCTGCTTTCTGATTTTGAATAAAATGTAGAGCAAAATCTCTTTAGATTTAAAGACTATACTAAGGCCATTCCTTTCTTGATAAGTACTCTGAAGTTTGGCAGACGGATACGCATAGGAGGCGTTCTTGGATAAAAGTAACCGGTATGTCTCCAGAATGTGCAACATAAGAACTCCCTTCTTATGCAAGAACTAAAAGTCATTAACAATTGTAGTTAAAGACTTAAAAGCAACTTCATGCTCACTTTCCTCTGTGTTTGTATTGCCTGATTGCGCAGGTGCTGATTTCAGTAAATACTTCTAAATGCATGCCGATTTGTAGACCATTTTTGACCAAAACTTGCACACGTGATTATGTTTACAATGAATTAAATCATTATTTTCATTTGCGCACCTCAATATTTTTTTTGTGCAATTAACTGTCTTTTTTTAAGGTTTTGTTTGTCACCAAAACATGAGTTAAAATCCATAACACATGTGTTTCAGATTACTCACACACTTCACAAACAAAGAAACAACAATATATAATCAAAACATAAAACAATATCTAATTAATCACAGATAATGTACAAAATCACCTACAAACTATTTTAAACTAGTTGTTGAACATAACGACATAACGACATAAGAATTGAATTTATAAATAATTGAACGGATTGAAAGATATGATATATCCGTTATTAAAAAACTATTCCGAGTGAATCAATTGAAATGGGCATGCAGCATCTCAATATCATATGTTCGCCACTAAAATATAAAACAATGTTTT